TGTTATTGTCTTTGGAGTAGATAAATGTAATAATTATACATGGACATGCTCATGTTGATCAATTATTTCCTGTATCGGTTTACTTTCGTCGTAAGACTAACATAAACAAGAAATATCCCCGAAACTTTGTAAACAATTAACTCATTTAACAAATATTTATTTTAAAAATAGTATTAAGTCAATAATATTGTCCGCTAACTTATCATCCCTCTTAAAGCGTATTTTTTTCCATATTGATTTTACTGTAGCATAAGTCAATAATATTTGTCACCAACTCCTTCCTAACACAAAGGTCAAAAAGTCAAACAATGGGATTTGATTGTGGAAAAAAAGATGTGAGGGATTTAGTTGCCTAACCCATATTTTGTCCCTTATTCCAAAGTAGATCCACAGTACAAAAACAGAGGTATTTTACATTATTTATAAAGTATAAAAAGCTAAATGATTTAATATTAAATTATTTATTAAGTAAGTGATATAAAATATGTTATTTAACATCAACCGTAGTAATTGATATTGTTTTTGATGTGTTTAACATCAGTTTAATAATATTGATGCAAATCCATATTAATTTGTATCACTTAAAAAAATTGACACATGAATATTGATTTACATTCTTTATTTATTAAATCTGGTTAACATCATTTAAAAAAAATGATTATAAAATTTATGTCAGTAAAAAAGTGATGCTAAAACATTTTTAATAAATTGATTGCTTACTTTTGTAAGTCCCACATTGACAATTAAAGGTAAGGGTAAGAAGATTTTAGTCTTATAAATAACTAAACTCCCTCAATTATATATTGTTGTCAAAGTTCAACATTGACTTTGATTTTTGGTAGCTTAGTTAAGGGTAAATTAATATTGCCTTAAGTAAAAAATTCATTTAAGATTAGTTATAAATTATAATCCAATTATGACATTTTCGAAATTGATTCTTTTACATCAATTATTTATAATTGATAAAAAAATATTTGGAATCAATTATTAAACTGATGCAAATATTTAGCATTAATTTTTTTAAATCGATACAAATTAGCATCAATTAATATAACTGATGAAAATATTTGTATCGGTCTTTTTAACTGATGTTAATATTTGTATCACCATTTTTAGAATCGCTTACATTATTTATAATTGATTCAAGCAAACAAAATAATCGATGCTACCCACCTCTTTTTTTTTTTTGTAGTAAGGCCATGTAGAAAGAAGACTCTCTAAACCAAGTATGAAAAACACAATTCTTTAAGAAAAAGGTATTTAAGATGACGTAAGAAACTTCAAATTGATCTTTTTTTGGTTCAAACTTTGCAATGATCTTATCTTGCATATAGCAGAAAAATTAGATAAATTCGCTTTGAAACCATGAAGCTGAAGATGCTACTACAGCTGCATAAACTCTGAACTAAAATCTTTTGAAAGTGGTCAAGTAAAACAGAGTTGAATATCAAACCAAACCTACATGCCCAGAACATGGCGGTAGAGCCTTGATTTTATTCTAATTCATCATATCAAAGTTGAGAGCTTTTGTTGCAGGTTGATTAGAACATCTAGATATGCACATTAGAACCAGAAGATTTAAATAATAAGAAGTTTAAATAGCTATTTAGATCATCATCTCGAAAACGGACCATAATAAGCAAAAATTGTCCATCTGAATAGTCTTTGAAACCATATTATGAATCAAGTCCTCATCTTGGACATACTCTTCTCTTTTATACATAATGAAAATGGACCTTATTTAAAAACATTTGATAAAAAAGTATTGTCCACCACCCAAACCACCCACCAGGCCACCACTGCCAACTCTTTTTTTTTTTTAATAACCGATGGGTGTCCGGATTTTTACCACCCGACTAATCCCCAGGATGAGTGTAGCCGTCGAATAACCCACTCACCAGGTTTTTTAATGGGTCGAAAACATGGCACCACTCCTTGCCCCAAACCTTTTTACCACTAGGCCACCACCACTTGGTTTTCTACTGCCACTGCCAACTCTTGCATGAAAAAATTTTGATTTCGTAAATTTCCAAATAGTACGAAACGGTACGAAGTGATTTCCGTTTGTTAAGCTCAACAACCGTAGTCGCCCTTTTGGATATGATAGCGAAAAAATCAATTAACATACGAAAGTAAAATCAGTAAACTCGACACGAGTCGTACCACCAAGCCCGCAAGCAATCTGAATCG